TTGGAATATACGCCACGAGATGCATAGGATTATTTTAAGACAGATATGCTTCCACTTCAAAAAACAAACAAACAAAAAACAAAACCTAAAGTCACCATTCTCTGCCATTACATTGGCAAGTGCGAGCAGGACATTTTTGTGTTTTTAAGTAATAAGCCTTTAGAACAACATTAAGGTGAGTAGTCACTCTAGTTCACACAGTTCCAATAAATTGCGATGGGTTAAATAAACTCAATAAGCAGACAGACGCGACTACAGTCAAGCGCAGATCAGTATTGAAGTGCACAGGAAATAAGCAGCAGTCATATTTAAAGCAGTTTAAATTAATATTGAGTACTGATTGATGTTGAGTGCTGACTGACATTTATAGTCGTATGGTAAAATTTATATTTTTAAATTGTGTAACGTTATGTTCAAAATAACTACAAAATGTCATGCCTTTGAAAAATAAAGAGAAAAACAGAATGCGCTGCTTTAGCGCGTCTCGGTCTCCTTGAGCATCTTTCTGGCGCATGCCACAAACATGAACCACAGGGAATACTTGTCTTTAAAAGGCTTCATTTAGATGATTTGACGTTAAATTGCAGCAGTGGAGGACTATTATTCTGCTGCGTGATACTGCGGAAGAACTGATGAAGGCACCATTTGATCTTCGGCTGACCAATCAGCTGAAAGGGGCGTTTAATTCCCGCCCACGTGTAGAAATCGAATATTCAAGCTGTTTATTCATTTTTCCACCCATGAACGAAAAAACGAAAATTTAAGCTGAATTCTCGTTTTTCGTTTTTTGGAAAAAAAAAACAAAAAAACGAAAAAGGGGCCATTTTCTCATTTTTCTACTTTCAATATTAAATCAAAAAACGAATGATCGAATGATACACGGATTCGATTCAATCGTTCTACACGTGGGCGGGAATTAAACCCCCCTTTCTTCTTATTGGTCAGCCGAAGATCAAACCGTGCAATCATCAGTTCTTCCTCAGTTCTGCGCAGCAGAATAATAGTCCTCCGCTGCTGCAGGTGTATGGATTCTTAACATCATTGCAACTACATTTCATGCACACATGAATGTATCAGAGACAGATGTTGTAAACTGAGTGTTTGATGCATTTGGCGGTCTGTATGTGTTCATGTACCTGGACCACAGACAGTGGATTTGATTCCAGTTTGTTCCAGAGCAGGTACTCTGTTCACGGCACCGTCGATGTGCTGCATAAAGACATCCCAGTCCAGATCAAACAAGCTGAAGGCAAACCTATCAGACACCTGCAGGATCACAGAACAAATACACAATTTTATAGTCATACAATATTGGAGTGACCTGGTCAGACGTGATGAGCTCACTGCTGCCATAAATCCAGAACTGCATCTATGATTTAGGAGGAAGGTCTTACTGGATGATAACATGTCACTGACATAATATGTAACCAATCAAGTTAAACTACTGGTGTCCAATTAACCCTTTACTAAACCCGCCTTTATAAACATCGCTGTTCAGTCCATAACAACTAGCCATCATCCGTTTCTCAGACAAGCTTTTGCTTACTTCTAATGTACATCTATGGAGGATCTGTGTCTTTGACAAAACACAAAACAAGATGGCGCCAAGTGTGTGTGGCCGGCCGTCTGTTGCTCCCGGTTGTATGGATGTTTGTCTTGTTTTTATCGACTGTTTTAAATACTGCAGACTCTCTACTGGTGTATGATCGCCAAACACTTCTTGGCATTAGATCAGCAATGGAAAATATGGCGATCTATAATGTTAATCGGGGTGGAAAAAACAATTCGCCCCCTCCTCCACTTCCTGCGTGGATTACCTGCCTATCTCTGCCGGACCCTATGCTCTCTCGGGAGGATGAAGCGATCCAGACGTCGTGGTAAATGAAGTGGTCTGTTGGTGAAAGTGAAAACTTTAATGGCTTTGTTCCCAAATGCCTATCCTTGCTGGATTTTAGCAGGTCTTGACGTGGATTGTCGCCGGTACGTGCTTCGACGATTCTGGGATCCCGCGAATAAGTGGCTGGTACCTGTAATCGGCGTGGATAAGGAGCCTCCGGTCCACATTCATCAGCCACCCCGTCTCAGAAGAGGTGGTGTGGATGCTTCTCTCCTTCGACCTTTTGACCGCAAATCTTCGTCGTTCAAAGACTCATCTCCAGTGAGGATAGCCTTGGTGAATGCTAGATCACTAGCTAACAAGTCCTATATTTTGAATGACTTTTTTACCTCCAACGATCTGGGCATATTGTGTGTGACTGAGACCTGGATCGGTGTTGGTGAGTCGAGTGTTTTTTTCAGAAGTTTTACCACTGAACTCTACCTATTTTAACTCTCCATGTCTTACGGGACGAGGAGGTGGAGTAGCAACTATTTTTAAAGAACATTTAAACTGTCGGCGTCTGCCATCTCACTCTTATTCCAGCTTTTAACTGGAATATTTCTGAACTAAGTCTGGGTTATCCGGTGCTGTGCGCCATGGTTTATCACCCACCCAAATACAACAAAGACTTTATCGATGATTTTTCGGCTGGAATCATGCCAAAATATGATCGGATCTTAATTGCTGGGGATTTTAATATCCATGTGTACTGTCCCACCAAGCCTTTGGCTAAAGCTTTTTTAAATCTTGTGGAGTCTTTTAACTTAACTCAGTTTGTGGCTAGTCCCACACATAAATGTGGACACATACTAGATTTGGTTTTATCATATGGCTTGCCTATTGGTAATATTGAAGTCTGTGATGCCATTTTCTCTGATCATCTGCTTGTTTTATTTGAGATATGTACTTCTTGTGATTCTAAAATGACTGCTCCAACCCGTCGCTGTCGGACGATTAACCCTTCAACTGCTCAATTGTTTTCTGAGGCTTTTAATGGCATTGAGGATGATTATTCAATGTCCTCATATGGCCTTAACACCGATGACTTAACGTCATTGTTTGTTTCAACCTGTCAAAGTATTTTGGATACAGTGGCCCCTTTTAGGACAGTTCGAGAAAAACCTAGAGTTCAACCGTGGCTGAATGCTACTACTCGAGCTGTAAGGCTTGAGTGTAGAAGGGCGGAACGCCGCTGGAAGAAGGATAAATTGCAGATTTCTTTCGATATTTTAAAGGAGAACTTGTCTAAATATTAAAAAAACTGTTAGATCTGAGAAATCAAAGTATCTCTCTAATGTTATCTGTAATAACTCTCATAAGCCAGCTGTGCTGTTCAGTACTATTAATGCTGTTTTGAACACTCCCCAAGCTACTTGTTTAGAGCCTTCTGCTGAAATGTGTGAGAAATTTTTACACTTTTTTATGGATAAGATTGAGGCTGTTAGAGCTAACATTTCTCTCCCATCTACTTTTTTATCCATTTCCACTGAGTGTTCTGCTGTTTTTAATCAGTTTGAGCCGGTGTCTCTTGCCTCATTGAGAGAGATCATTGTTAAAATGAAATCATCCTCTTGTGGCATGGATATTGTTCCTCCTTGTCTTCTAAAAGATTCATTTGAAACTATTGGTCCTAAAATTCTTGCAATTATTAATAGTAGCCTGGCCTCGGGAGTTGTACCTAAGCCTTTTAAACATGCAACAGTGGAACCAGTAATCAAGAAATCTCATTTGGATTCATCAGTTTTTGCTCATTTTAGACCCATCTCAAAATTTCGGTTTCTTTCCAAACTACTGGAGAATGTTGTATTTGGACAATTGAATTCATTTCTAGATCTACATGGTATTCACAAATTGTTTCAGTCAGGTTTTAAATCTTTACATAGTACAGAAACTGCACTGTTGAAGGTTTTTAATGACTTGTTACTTGCTACTGACTCAGGGGACTGTGCGATTTAAATTCTACTAGACCTTTCGGCTGCATTTGATACTGTAGACCATAAAATCTTGATTACACGCTTAGAACAATGTGTTGGTATTAAGGGTACTGCGTTGGGATGGTTTAGATCCTATTTGGGATGGTTTAGATCCTATTTCCAAAACGAACTTTCTCAGTTCGTTTTGGAGACTTTGTCTCCTCAACTGCTTCCTTCACGTGTGGGGTCCCCCAGGGCTCCATTTTGGGGCCTATTCTCTTCTCCCTGTATATGCTCCCCTTAGGACATATTTTTAAGAAATTTGGTATTTCTTTTCATTGTTATGCAGACCATACGCAAATGTATCTGCCTTTGAAACGAAAAGTTATTTGCTCTTTAGCGCCCCTGTTGCAGTGTCTTGAGGAAATTAAGGCCTGGATGGCACTAAATTTCCTTAATTTTAATGAAAATAAAACAGAAGTTATACTGTTTATGCCGGGAGGTACTTGTGAGTCATCAGATTTGGACCTTGGTGAATTGAAACCACTTGTGAAGCCCTATGTAAAAAATGTAGGTGTTATCATGGATTGTGATTTTAAATTGAACAAACAGATGAACTCGGTAGTTAAATCTATTTTTTTCCAATTGAGACAACTCACCAAGGTGAAATCTTTCCTGTCTTCTAAAGACTTTCAAAGAATCCTTCATATTTTTATTTCAACTTGTCTGGATTATTGTAATGGCCTCTATATAGGTATTAGTCAGGCCTCTCTCTCCAGACTGCAGATGGTCCAGAATACGGCAGCTCGCTTGCTGACGGGTACACGAAAGCGGGAACACATCACCCCCGTTCTCGCCTCTCTTCACTGGTTACCTGCCCATTTTAGGATTCAGTTTAAGATCTTGGTATTTGTTTTTAAATCTCTTAATGGTTTAGCACCTAAATATCTTTCCGACTTGCTCAAGCTATATGCTCCGTTAAGAGCACTTAGGTCTGCTGACCATTTGCTTTTAGTTGTCCCACAGGTAAAGTTGAAGAGCAGGGGTGACCGAGCATTTACAGTGGCTCGGGAATAGTTTGCCCCTATACATTAGACAGGCTCAAACACTTGCTGTTTTTAAATCTAGCCTAAAAACTTATTTTTATAGTTTGCCATTTAATGCTATGTGAGAGCTGCTTTCTTTTATTGTATTGTTGAATGTTTGTATCATTGATATTTTTATTCTTTTTTTGTGTGCACTTGCTGTTTTTTAAAAAAGTGCTTTATGAATAAACTTTGACATTGACTTTGTCTATTCTGTACACGTTGAATTGCAAAACAAGTTGGCTGGTAAATTCAAGGTAGGATACAGTTATGGTTGGGGACAGGTTTGGTGGTATGGTTAGGTTTAAGGATGGGTAAAGGTGTAGGGGTAGAGTCAACAGTGTAATTACAAAAGTAACTACAGAAATTAATTACAGAAAGTTTTATATATATATATATATATATAAAATTACAATGTAAAAACATGTATGTACACAATAAGTCCATTGTATCCAATGATTAATTTAAATGTAAGTACACAGCAGTTAATGACACTTAATACAAAATGGGTCCACTTAATACAAAAGTTGGGTCCATTACCCAAATATTAACGGTAAAATGTACCCAAATTATATGTTTTTTACATATGTAGCCTGACATGCTGAATCACGTTATAAAACCGC